CTTCTGAGACCTTACTGTAGATTTCTTTTTAAATGTCTGAGTTAACAGCTGTTAACCTGGGTGCTGGGAACTGTACCTGGTCTTCTGAAAAAGCCATGAGCTAGCACTGACCTTGAACTCTTGATCTTTTAGTTTCCAACTAAATACACTACCATGTGCTTGCACTTAATTTTTTTCGCTTTCTTTTTTTTAATTTTTATTTTATGCTCTTTGGTGTTTTGCCATGGGTGTCAGGTCCCCTGGGAAGTAGAGTCATAGAGAGTTGCAAGTTGTCACGTGGTTGCTGGGGACTGAACCTCGGTCATATGGAAGAGTAGTGAGTACTAAACCACCGAGCCATTTCTCCATCCTCTTTTAGTTTTTTGAGACAGGTTTCTCTGTAGCTTTGGAGCCTGTCCTGGGACTGGCTCTGTAGACCAGGCTGGCCTTGCTCTCAGAGATCCACCTGCTTCTGCCTCCGAACTTCAGGGATTAAAGACTTACTTCACCATCACCCGGCTACAGGTACAGATGTATTTACGATGAAACCTTGTATATTCAACACCGTAGTCAAGAACTTGAACATTCTGTCATAAAGCCATCCTCCTCCTGGGGCCTTGCTTTTCCCTGCCTGCATCCCCAAGAATAAGCACTGTCTTAGCACTGCCCGTGAATTCCTGTTAGGACTTTGTAGAAGTGGGATTGTAGATCCTAAGTACTTAGCTCTGGTGTTAACCTGTGTGTCCCAGGATGGTCTTTTGAAGGCTTATCCCATCCCCTCAGCTACTGGCTTTTTAAAGTTTTTTAAGTAGAAAAGGTAAGTATGGATTTTTTTTGCTTTAAAATTCAAAATTCTTGACTTACTTTACACAAACCAAATGATCCTTAATTTTAAATTGCCTTTGTTCAGATCAGAAGCTCGCAATTTGTAGAGAATTTCAGTGACCATATGGGAATTACTTGAGTTGGAGGAAATAATTTTTTAACTCTAAACTGTCCTTTGAAATCCAGAACATAGTCTTTATGATTTTAATGTCTGTTGAAAGACCAGCTAGTATTTTAATGTATGATTAAGTCTATGTCACCTAGGTGTTCTCCCATCATGTTGTGAGGTTACCAGAATAAACATTCATTTTGGTGTTGGAATTTAGAAAGTATCTTTTGCCTTTAATCCCAGCACTCAGGAGGCAGAGGCAGGTGGATCTCTGTGAGTTAGAGACCATCCTGGTCTATAAGAGCTAGTTCCAGGACAGGCTCCAAAGCTACAGAGAAACCCTGTCTCGAAATAAGAAAAGAGAGAGAGAAAAAAAATATTTTATTGGTGTGGCTTTGTGTTTTTTGTTTGCTTTTCCCTTTTTCTTTTAAAGATTTATTTAATTATGTGAGTCTGGGTTGGGGACATGTATACATGCATGCAGGTGCCTGAGGAGGCCAGAAGAGGGCATCTGGTCCCTTGAAGCTGGAGTAACAAGTAGTTGTGAACTGCCTAAGTTCTAGGAACTGAATTTAGAGCCTCGCCAAGAGCAGTAAGATATTTTAGAAAACATCCGCTGTGCCTGGTGATCCAAGCCTTAATTCCCAGCTACTGAGGAGGCTCAGGAAGGACGGCTGAGAAAAATCAGGCCTGCCTGAGTTGGAGTGAGTTTAAGGTTACCCTGAGCAGTTTAGTGAGACCCTGTGTCAAAAATTATGAGAAAGTTCCTGTTTTCTTTGTTCTGAGGCTTGAGTTTACAGATTGCTTTTACCTAGAGTTGTTGATAGTCTGGATGTGGTTCAGTTCTGTGGTAAAGTTAGGCTCTTGGTCTGCTTTGTTCCTAAAGACTTGAGTGGTAATTTTTGGCCATTTTGAACTTAGTGGGCACTTTCTGACGGGTGGGGAGAAAGGCAGTTTACTTGGTATAAAATTTGGTTTTGTTAAGTTATGGAGAATATTTAAGTTGGATTGTTTTTCCAGCAGAATATAAAAGCCTTGCCTTTATTTTAATATTTTTGGAGTTAGAAATTTGTTTTATAGCTCATGGTAGTCTTATTGGTTTGATTCTCCACCTCAGCCCTGAGTCCTAATTATGTACCATTATGCCCAGCTTATTTTGACAACCCCCCCTTTTTTTTTTTTGTAGTGCTGGGAATCAGACTCATGGTTTCACTCACCATAGGCAAGTACTTTCCCTCCCACTGAGTCATATCCTCAGCCCCAATTTTATTAACATTTTTATTTTTTATTTTTATTTATTTATTTTTTTTTGAGGCAGGATTTTATAATTTAAACTCTTCATCCTCCTGCCTTTACCTCCCAAGTACTTGCTTGCTTGTTTAAGCATAGGGGCAGTCCCATTGGTCTGTTCAGGTCAATCAATTGCCAGACTTCTGGTCAGAGTACTATATTGTTTGAACTAAAGTAGACTAGCCCCACCCCTTTTCCCCATGTGACAGGGTTTCTCTGTAGCGTTTGGTTTCTGTACTGGAACTAGCTCTTGTAGACCAGGCTGGCCTTGAACTCACAGATCCGCCTGCCTCTGCCTCCCGAGTGCTGGAATTAAAGGCGTTTGCCACCATGGCAGTAGACTAGCTTTTATGCTGTATATTTCATTGTTCTTAGCAACAGCTTGTCATTGCTCTTCAGTGGTCATTCTAGAATCTTCGCTGATCTCTAATAGTTTATAGTCTTAAGTGTGCTTTAAAAATTTGTGGTTCTTTTAAAGTCTCGGGATGGGGTGAGAAAAATAGTGTCCTGACTGAATATGATGGGATATGCATATAATACCAGAGTTTGAGTTGAAGCAGGGGGATCATGGATTCAAAGACCAACCTTAGCTATACTGGGAGAGACATTGTCTTAAAAAGAGATATGACTTCAATTGATGCTGCTGTTAAGCCAAATTGGAGTGCCTGCTTGTTTACTCCTGTACTGTTGAATTTGAGGGCCAGAGGAGTCTATGGGGGTGTATTATCTCTCTCTACCTTACTTTCTGAGATAAGGTCTCTTGGTGAACCTGAATCACACCATTTTGGCTAGCCAATAAGCTCCTAGGATACTCTTATCTCTGCCTGCAATGGTGGGCTTACCGTGACCATGTCTGGCTTTCATATAGGTTCCAGGGATTTAAACTCCAGTCTTACTTTTATAGAAAATGCTCTTAGCCATATATTCAGTTGAGCAATTGTGATTTAGTGCTTTGGTGAGTAAATAGAAACGAACTGTGGATGAATAACTGAAATTGCTGCTTCAGTATATACAAATGTAAGTGCCATGAAGGTCTGGGAATCTTCACCAATCTTGGATAGATGAGGTTGTTGGGACGTTGCTAGTCAGTTACATCTAGATGTGTACCTGTTTCACCCCTAAAGCAGTTATAGTGTAACTATATTGAAACGTTTCAAAATTTTAAAACAAAAAACCTTTTTGAAAAAATTCTGAAGTTTGGTCTTATGAAGATGGTATATATGTGCAGCGTGTTTAAAATGCATATGAATATTAAAGCATCTAGCAATGTTTATGTGACAGATGGTTTTCTAGATACTATATGTGTTAACTCATTTGCTCTTTATATTCGGTGTGTCACCTTTGTTTTATCTAAAAGCTAGCTAGTGCCGCCTTAAAGCCTGACCAGTAAATGGAAGAGGTGGCAGAAACTGGATTGTCCGTCAGTTCCTGTGCATTGGCACTCAAAGTACTCATTAAAATTACAATTTAAGGATTTGCTCTAGATGTATTGATATTTATGTTTTAGTTGGTTTAAATACCACAAATATAATTTGTTACTGTAAGCACAGTATCCTTTTAAATGACTGAATAGGTAATATGTTAAAACAGAAAACTGTAGTTTGAATTGACCGTATTCTTCATCTTTTTTTTTTTTAGTTATGAATACAGTGTTCTGTCTGCATGTATACCTGCAGGGCAGAAGAGGGTACCAGATCTCATTATGGATGGTTATGAGCCACCATGTGGTTGCTGGGAATTGAACTCAGGACCTCTGGAAGAACAGCCAGTGATCTTAGCCGCTGAGCCATCTCTTTCCAGCTCCCCTTCATCTTTTTTTTTTTTTTTAAATCACAGTTTATTTTGTGTGAGCATGCTGTGGCATGCATGTCAGAAGACAGCTGGCAGGAGTTGATCCTCCCACCTTGTGGGTCCTGGGGATTAAACGTTAGTCTTTAGGCTTGGTTACAAATGTCATCTGCTCTGTAACTTTTTGTGTTCTTGGAGAAGGCATCACTGAAGTCACCATCCTCACACTTCAGCCTGTGTGCTGAGGTCACCATACTTAGTCTCCAGATAGGGGTTACTTCTCTGCTTGCTATTTTCAGTATGTGGGCTCACAGCAAGGGAAAGTCCCTAGCCCCTGAGATGGCAGTCTTAAATGCAGATTGAAGATGAAGTTGTTCCTCTTAGTGGGCATCATTGGTCTTTTAATGGTGTGATTACTTGTAACTAGTGGACAGTGTCTTTAAAGGATTAAAGGATCGTGAAAAAGATGGGTATGGTGGTTTACACTTTGAGTCTCAGCACATGGGAGATAAAGGCAGGAAGATCAGCCAGGACCGTCCTTGGGCATATACTGAGTTCAAGGCCAGCCTGGGCTACCTGAGACCCTGCCTCATAAAATCAAGTTAAAAGGGAGGTCAAAAAAATTTGTCTTGGATTCTGAATATGACTTAGTTTAATTAGTATACACACACCCTCAAACAAACAAAGTCCCAGACAGAACAGTAAGCCAGATAAGCCAGAAGAAATTTGTCTGAACACCTAGGACATAGCTTGCTTTAATTGAAATATTCTTTTGGGGGCCCAGCAGTATGGTTCATTGGATAAAAGCGCTTGCTATTAAAGCTGATGACTTTGGTTTGCAGCTCCAGAACCTACATGTTTGAAAGAACTGATTCTCAGAAGTTGTGCTTTGATTATACAACTGCAAACACCCTTTTCCCCTAATAAGTTTAGCTGGGCATGGTGGTGCACAACTTTAGTCCCAGCAGAGGGTGGCAGAGACAGGCAGATCTCTGACATCTATGTCGGCCTTGTCTACCTACATACCTGGTTCCATACCAGTCAGGGCTGTGCCATGTGACCATATTTCAGAAAGAAATGTTCTTTTGTTAATGCTTTGTGTGGTGGTACATTCGTTCATTATTCTGATACTTGGGAAGTTATAAATGTACTTGTTTGTTTTTCAATAGTGAAAAGGAAGATGATGATAATGAAAAGAGAGAAGATCCAGGAGATAACTGGGAAGAAGGTGGAGGTGGTAGTGGAGTAGAAAAATCTTCAGGTCCCTGGAATAAAACAGCTCCAGTACAAGCACCTCCTGCTCCAGTAATAGGTAATCCTGTTTTCCTTCTGAAAGGCTAATTTAATGTGGTATTTGTGCCTATTATGGGGTGGAAACCTTATCATTCCTGGGAGACGGGGATCTGGATGTATATGTTCCTAATAAGACCTAAATGGGAGGACTATAAAACTTACACGACGTAAGTTTTGTTCAACAGACTGTCAAAGTTTTGTTTCTGTTTTAGTGCTATGGGATGAAGCTAGGTAGTTCATCTGCTTAGCAAGCATTTGACCTCTAAAGTACATCCTCGGTGCTACTCTTAGTAAGTTCTTGAAACCTGAATTATCAGCAGGAATTTATTTTATAAAGAGAGTAAAAGGTCTTTGAAACTGAAAAAATCTTAAGGTTCATTGGGTGGTGGTGTAGGCCTTGAATCCCAGCACTGGGAAGGCAGAGGCTGGTGGATCTCTTGAGTTCGAGGCCAGCCTAGGGTACATACAGTAGGATGAGTTCCAGACAGCCAGGACTGTTTGACAGGGAAACCCTGTGTTGTAAAACAAAAGAACAAAAGAAAACAAATCCTAGGGATATATTTGTGTTGTGCGTGTCTGCATGTTTGTACAGGTGCTTATGAATGGGCAGAAGCTTGTTGTCCTTGTCCACTTAATTTGTTGAGGGTAGGGCCTCCCAAGGAACCAGGAATTCAAACCAATTGCAGTTAGCCTAGCTAGCCAGCTTGGGTTTTGTGATCCTGTTTCTACCTGAATTAGGTGACTGCTATGCCTACCTAGCTTTTACATGGATCTGATGATCTCTGGGCCTTATTTGCTCAACAAACATGTCCCCTGAGCCATCTCTGTAGCCTGAAGTTGTTGCTTATTTTTGATGTGCTAGAAAATGAACTAAGGGCCTTACACATGCTAAATGTATTACTGAACTGCATTGCCAGCTGACAAATCTTACGGCATTATTTTTTATTTTGAAGCACCATTTTATATGTTGTGGCTCATGTGGCCTTGAGTCCTTGGTATAGCTGAGATGACCTCAAGTCACAGCCACTACCACCCCCATTCCTGGGATTACACAGGAGTATGCTTTCCTGACAACTTTTCTAATTTAAAATGTTTTTAAATTGTTTTGATTCCTTGAGAATGTTATACAGTATGTTTTGGTAATATTGATCCCTACTCCTCAAGAGACCTACCAACTTGCTTTTTGAGACAGGTTCTCACTATGCAGCCCAGGCTAGCTAACCTCAGATTGTTTGTGCATGTTGGTGTTGTGTGTTAAGTCTTCATGTGGTTGTGGCCGTTGAGGCCAGAGGCTGACTTCTTGTCTCTTCCTATGTCACTCTACACTTTACATTTTGGTATAAGTTCTCACTGAGTCTAGAGCCCTCTAAAGACTCTGCTAGCTGGCCAGCTCTCCCCTGGGATCTTGTTTTTTTGTCACCATCCACCCAAGCCTGCACTGATTACAGAAACATGCTTTCGCCCTGCCTGTTACTTTCCGTAGGCTTGAATTATACCAGAAGGAAAGCTTACATCCTTATTTACTGAGTATCAACACTGCACTTGGAATAGGCACAGTTGCTGCCATGTTATTTTCATGAGTTCTGGTTGGTGTAAATTTTAACTTCTCAATGCTTTTATGGCAAGCGCTTTGCAACTGAACCAATCTCCCCCGCCTCTGAGTGCTGAAGTTAAATTGCTGAAGTTAAATACCATGATAGTGCTGCTTGATTTTTCTCTTTTGAAATTGATAAGCTTTCAGGCTACTCCTGGAATGTACCAGACACACAGCTTTTATAGACTCCTTGTTCTTATACTTGGGGGCTGGTATCTTTCCTCTTTGTCAGGTTTCTGAAGCATTTTCTGTGAAGACCAGATGGTAAATAACGTGGAGGAGAGGACCTGGTGGTATCTGTGCTGCTGTGGCATGGAAGCTGATGTGGACATAACAGTGATGGGTGTAGCCTTGTTCCAGTTGTTGGACCATGTAACATGATGGCCAGCTTGTTGGGGTTTCTGTCCTGCCCGGTACCGCACAGCCGGCAAGTCCCAAAGAAAATCACACAGAGTCTACATTAGGTTATAAACTGATTGGCCCATTAGCTCAGTCTTCTTATTAACTAATTCTTACATCTTACAGTAACCCATAATTCTTGTCTGTGTTAGCCATGTGTCTTAGTACCTTTTCCAGCGGGGGGGGGGGGGGGGGGGTGGGGGGTGGGGGGGGGTGTCTTACTTCGTGCTTGTCTTGCTGTGGGCAGGAATGGACGAATGGGCTTCCTCCTTCCTAGCCTTCTCCTGTTCTCATTGCCCCGCCTCTACTTCCTGTCTGGTTGACCCGCCTATATTTCCTGCCTGGCCAATCAGCGTTTTATTCAAATATGATTGACAGAATACAGACAATTCTCCCGCACCAGGGCCAGATATAGCTTGTTTGCTAACTCTTAGTTTTATGTGTTTGTTTTCTTTTTTTCTGATTTTTATTATTTCTGTGGTGAGTTCGTGGCGCTGAATCTAGTCACCAGATTTGTACAGAGAGTGTCTTTACCTGCCACCCATTTTGCTGGCCTCCAGTTCTTTTCAAGTCTGCTTAATCACTGAAACCCTCCGTAAACCTATAAAAATGAAGCTTCTTTGTAACTGGAGAGATAGCTCATTATTAGTTAAATGTTCTAAACTACTGCTTTACGGAAGAACCAGAACTCCTACCTGGGCCTCACAAACACCTGACTCTAGCTTCAAGGAATCCGGCTCTTCTGTCCAACATGGGGATCTGTGTACACACACAGACACACACCTTTTTTTTTGTTTGTTTGTTTTGGTCTTTTCTAGAACATACTGCCCAGTAGACTTGGAAGGTGATGGGAGAGTGCGGTGGTATAGTGGCCACTAGTCACATGTGACTGAGAAACTGAAACCTAGATTTCATTTTACTCATCTAAAATAACTACATGTGTTGCGTTGAATCCCAGCTCTCAGAACACAGGCAAATAGAGTCTGAGTTGAGGCAGCCAGGGCTACAAAGTGGAGAAGTGGAGACTGTTTCAAAAAAACAAATGAGTGAGCAAACAGGCCAGCTTCGCACTGTCTGGAGATAGCTTGGCCAGAGTTTCAATGGCCAGAATCCACTGTTACAGAAAACTAATTCCTAAAACTTGTTTTCTGATTGCCGCACTTGAATACTTTGGGATGTAATGTGATCTCACAACTATACCACCCACAGACACAAATAATTTTTATTTTAAAGCCACATGTGCCTAATGTGCTGGAACATAATTGAAGGTTCGTTTTGGTTTCTCTTTGAGTTTCTCAGGCTGGATTTGAATTCTGATCCTTTCTCAGCCTCCCAAGTACTGATGTTGTGAGCATGTTCCACTACTCCCCAAAATTGGTTTTGTTTATCCTAAGTGCAATTTAGATTCTCAATAAAATAAGTAAACATGTTAGCTTTCCCTTTGGTATAATCTAAGCCTATAGAAAACAGTCTTTTAAACTATAATGACATTGTGTTTCAGCTGGTAGATGATACAGGAATGTTTATTGTGTTTTCATGGGGTAGGCTATCAAATTTGTGAAAAGAAAGTTTTTGAAAAGTGAAAAATAACACCACTTGAAACCATATTGAGGATCAGTTGGAAAATAGAGAAAAATAAGTCTTCGTAGAAGATTTTAAGCTTTTCAGGAGGCCTTTTCCTGTTTTCTGATTGAATAATGAAATTGAACATCTAGTGGTCTTAGAGAATGAAATAAAGATAAGGATTGCCTATTTTTTAAATCTTCTTTAGAAATTAAAATACTATGTGTGCATCTCATTAAATAAATTACTTAGATAAGACAACTTGTATAGACTACCTTCCGAGTAAAGAAAGTGAATGACACATTTACTGATAGAAACATCAGGAACTCTGGTGTTGTATCCACAAGGTAACCTCGTGAGAACCCCTGTCCTCAAGCTTGTACCTCACTCGGAATGCATCTGTGGCGTGTTAGATTTATTCTCAGCAAGTTAGAGCGCTCGCTGACTTAGAGATGAGCAACTTTCTACTTTGAGTTATCTTTCACAGACAACTTTTGTTGTCCAGTCCAAATCCCTTCTGAATCGGGGTTTGCTTCTCTCATAATTGTTAAATGATCAGGAGTGTGGGAAGATGTTACTAGAAGGCCACACATTTGAATAAATGTCTTATCTATTAGTTACAGAAACCTCGGAGCCGGCAATGCCTAGTGGTGTATATAGGCCTCCTGGGGCCAGGCTAACCACAACAAGGAAAACGCCTCAAGGACCACCAGAAATATACAGTGACACACAGTTTCCATCCTTGCAGTCCACTGCCAAGCACGTAGAGAGCCGGAAGTAAGTATGTGAGGTTATGAGTAGGTTCTCTGACCAGGCACTTGGGAACCAGCTGGGACTTGGGTACTCAGGAGGGAAGGAAGACAGAGGGTGGGGGAAGAGTCCTTGGAAAGAGCAAGAAAGAGGATGCTAAAGACAGGCTTTGCTGGCTGCTTTGTTTCTGTCAGAGCTGCATTTAGTTTGTTCTTATAAGTACATTATTACTGGCTTGTCCCTTTTAAATATGGAAGCTAGAAATGTAAAAGCATTTATTATTGCATTCCCAATAAATGGGAGTAGAAGAAAGTTGTTGGCATTTACAAATCTAATACTAAAAATGATCTTATTTCAGCAGGTACTTAAAATGAATGCTACCTGAAGTTAAATGACCACATATGGCACATCTACATCTTATTTAGGGACATGAATTTTCAAAAGTTAATAAAATGGGAAGAAATGTAAATGGCATCAGATGGAAAAATTTTTTGGGTGGCTTTAAAGTAAATCCCAGCCTTTTCACCTCATTGAGAGCACAGCTGGCTTGAATTTAGACCTCCAGTCGGACTTGCTTCTCTGCTCTGTCCTCAAATGTGTGGGGTGACTCTGAGAGGGCAGTGACTTGCCACACACCTTTCTTTACCTGATCTAATCAGACCACTCCCCCAAAGCAAAAGGGAGAGAAATCGTTGAATGATGAGAACATTACTTGACTGAGTAAACAGGCACCCTTATGCATAAAGATGTATTATCTACTAACTGCTAAAACTTAGAAGTGAGTCTTAGGAAAAATGTCGTTACACAGCTTCTTTTCCGCTTGTCTTCAAGTTGGTCCCAAAATAGTCTATTCAGAAGATGGGACCTCAGAGCTTCAGTACAGTATTACATGTTTTCTGTTCAATTGAAGCCTTAAAGTGGTTTGATATGGATTTTGTATTTCCTTCCTGTTCAGGATGATTCTTAGGTTTGTTTTTGTTTTTTTAATTCAAGGAAGAATATTTTCAAAATTGCCCAGTGAAGAAGAAATATTTACTGATTACATTTCTTTTCCCTTAGGGATAAAGAAATGGAGAAGAGCTTTGAAGTAGTAAAACACAAAAATAGAGGTAGGGAGGAGGTTTCAAAAAACCAGGCCCTTAAACTTCAGCTAGACAACCAGTATGCTGTGCTTGAAAATCAGAAGTACAGCCACACACAGTACAGTTAAGCAATGGTCTTTGCTAAGCCTCCCAAGATAACTAGACCACAGCTAACTACCAAGAACAGCCATTCAGCGTCTCATATCTGGATCTACAGTGACTGACTGATGAAGACCTCCATTCCAGTGACTGTCCCTGTTGCACTATGGAAGATCAAGAGTCACAACTGATCTTGATGTGTGTTGGATTTAGGGGTGTTTTCATTGTCTTAAATATTTGTGAATTAGATTCAGCTGTGTTTCCATAGTTGCTCTGCATATAAAACCAAACCTGCAGCCAGTGGTCATTTCAAACATCTTTATGTTCAGATACTGAGCCTTCGCAAGGTTGACTACCTCAGATTTGCTGCACTTAATCGTGGATTTCATATGGATCACAACTTCTGCATAAGTTACAGCTATTAGTATCAGTGTGAACCTTGAAACCAACTCTACTGGATTCCTTTCAGGAAGCCTTCAGAAGTCAGCCATCTGGGTTCTGATCTGCTGTAAAAGATGAAGAGTTAAGTGACCTTAATTAACCTGTTCTGTGCCCCACTCTAAGGAATACTCTGTAGGCTGTGGCTACATTAGACTTCTTGGAACAAGCCGCTGTCAGAACTGTTGTGCTTGGATCATCTGTGTGGGGCTATGATTTATAATTTAAGTTTTTAGTTGTAGTATGAGGTGACTACAGATTCAATTCAACCAAACTTGGATCCACCAAATGGGGAAAGGGTGGGGGATAGTCTTGTTTTTTTGAATACCTTTTTATTCAGATAGTGCTTGTTCTGTTCCACATTAAGGCCTTGCTTTGACTTGGAGTAAGTTCTTGGACAGTGTATTGTGTGGTAAAATAGCCTGAATGAGGCATTGGAATTGTGAAATGACCTGTGAATTTGCCAATCCCTAGGTGGAACCAGATAGCCTTTGATACAAAAGGGCAGCGGATGCCAGAGGCTCCACTCCAGGTGCTGCTCGGTCCTCCTCTAATCAGGTCTAAATTGAACTGCTGTGGACAGAGTGATGTCTGCTCAGGTGGGGAGGGGTTCACTGACCTGTCTTAACATTTCAAAGCAACAGGTGCAAAACCTCACCAACACCCTGAAGTTTAATGAATCTTGCATGGTGTCTGATAAAAAAAAATCTTGTGTGTGCTCCAAATTTGAAGATATTGGCTATTTTGTAGATATATTCCTTGTTCTAGACAGCTCTATTGTCCACCTAGGGAATATTTTGTGATGTTCACTTGGAAAGGCAGGGGAATTGCCAGTGATGTATCACTTCTGTTCTTATTAATTAGATGTGACTGCAGTAGTACTTGACCCTTAAAGAGGGTACTGCTATATTCCTTTCCACCTAGTGAAATAGTGTGGCAGTTACCTACTTCCGTGTCCCCAGAAATGGTTCAGTACAAATACTCTTTATTGGCAACTAAGTACAAGATGTCAATGCCTGAGTTTCTCTAATGAATCCCTTTGCCAAATTCAGTTCAGACTTGCTCAGCACTGACAGGAGTGAAAACAGGTAATGAAGGAAGCTCTCCCAAGTTGAGACCATGTCTTGCAGTTTGGTGAATGAATGCAGTAGTTAGTGTGGGAAGGAGGTGTTGACCAGTGTTTCCTGACCAACTGCATGCCATTCTGGGCAATAATGTTGGCATGATCTAAGCCAGCCAGGAGGAAGCTGGGTGATTAGACGTTTGAGATAACTGAAGACTTATTTGGGCACCAGAAACCTTAAAAAGTAATCTCACACCTTGAGACACCTACTTACCTTAAAGTAGGTTCCCCCTCATCCCCAAGCCTGTTTAACCTGGGGTTAAGGTTTGAGAATTGAACTGAGACAGATGTGAAGAGGTTCATTTAATGGCATACTGTACTGGAACACGGAAAACCTGCAGCAGATGTAAATTCCAAGTCCTGTTATAATTTTTTAAGATTGTGAAATTATTGAAATGCACACGAATCAAGTTTTAATACACTGTCTGGGTGGATGAGGCTGTCCATTGCACCATTTCTTTCTTTGGGTTCTCAGGCATGGTTCGACAGTGTAAGAACTCTGTAACATTAACATTGAATAAAAAGAAAATCTATGAGTGGTAGACGTGATATTTTCTGTTGACACTCCTTAGCTTAAACTCTGAGAATGGAGAGCAGTGTTGGGGTCACTTCTGGGGATGACGACTGCTCTCTATCAAGAGTATACTAGTTTGCCAAGTTCCATAGAAGCTAAATGGAGTGAGAATGGCTGCAAGCCTGAAACACTCCTAATGGAAAGATGTTGACTCATTCTCTAGCGGCTTCAGTAGAACTGAACTTTGTTATGGCAAGGGGGATCTAAAGCCCTTTATCCTGTACACTGCAAGTTTTCATGCCAAAGCCCCCCACCTTTTTGAGTGGGGGCAGAAGATGAAATGTTTGGGAGCCATAGTTGGTTACCAGGGCTTGAATTCAAAGTTGTCAGGCTGGAAGCAGGGCTTTCAACCAACTCCAGGAATCTGCTGGGGATTGGAATCAGATCCCTGAGCTACTTAAACAAAAGTTTAAACACTTCTTTTTCATAAAATGTTTTCTGTGGTATTGGAGGAGGCCAAGGAAGTTACTGAATTCCCTAGAATAGATGGTTGTTAGCTTCCATATGGGTTTGGGGAACTAAACCAGGTCCAGAGCTGCCAGTGCTGTCTTGATGCTCCGTTTCTCCAGCCTTACCATACCTTTCAAGGCAGCAGCAGTTTTAAATTTAGTTTATATTATAGTTCTAAATATCTTAGTTGGGGTATATTTGATGTCATTTTTTGGCAATGGAATCTATATTTACTTGGTACTGGGTTGTAAGAAGTTATTCGTGTATGCATGTGTGCTTATGCCACTTGCATACAGGTTGCTGTGGAGACCAGGAGGCGTTAGAGCTGGAGTTGCAGACTTGAACCTCCCTTTATAGGGGCTGGGAACTGCAATCTTGTCCTTGGTAAGAACAAGTCTTCTTAACCACAGATGTTTCTCCAGTCCTGAGACTTTCTTCCTTAACTGCTTTATTTTATTTAAAGAATATTCTCTTAAGGCTCCAAACATGCCAGACAAAGTACTCTGTCAGGCTACACAACATTCTCAACCCTTTTTATCTTTTTAATAGTGTTTATGTAACTGAAGTGGGCTTTGAACTCAAGATCTTTCCTGCCTTAGCCTTCTAGGTAGCTAGGATTTACATGTATCAGGCCTTAACTTTCATATTTCATAGGCTTTTTTTTCAGAAACAGGGTCTGATGAATACAGACTTTCCCCTCCAGCTTGCTCAGTAGCCAAGGCTGGCCTTGAGGTCTTAATCTTGTATGTATTACCTTAGTATATAAAGACTCATCTCTCTAACCTCGGGGTAAAGTTCTGTGGCCAATCTAATCTACATAGCGTGTTGCAAACTAGCCAAGGGTTATATAAGACTGTCCCCAGTGATCTCGGTTTTCCCAAAGGCATATGCCCACCACAGCTCAAACTTTTCAACCAAAAAGAAATGCCTTCCCTACGAGTTGTCATTCTCCTGCCTCAATTGCTCACTGCCTAGGCAATCTAGGTTTTTCCTTTCTGAGCATTGCAATGAATAAGGCTGTTTAATAGATGGTCATTTGTGATTGGCATTTTACTAACGTGCTTTTGAGGCCCATCGATGTTCTATATCAGTCTCCTTGATAAGCCAGTTGTATGGATAAAAGTATGTTCCTTAGTGGGCATTTGGCTTGTTCCCATTCTGCTTCATTGTTGCTGTGAATTGCCATGTGTTTTAGTGTCAGCATGCTCTCGATTTTTTTTTTTGGGTTCATACCTAAAAATAAAATTACTAGGTTTACATGGAAACCCCAGAACTATAGAACCATTTTTAAATGGCCGCTCATTCCTGCCAGCAGTGTGTGAGGGTTTTGCTTCTTACCCCTACTTTGGAACGTGTTTCTAACCCTCCTGGGCAGCATGAAGTATCTCTAGTGGCTTTGACATCTCCTGTATTGCCCTTGCAATTTTTAAAAGGTGCCTTGTCTGTTTAAATTAGGCTATTATTGAATTCTTCATATTCTGCCTTATGACATGATTTGCAAAATGCTTTGTCTCATCTTTTATTGTGGTTTTAAGACGAGCTCATGTAGCCCAGACTGGCTTCATACTTGCTGTAGCTGATGACCCTGAGCCTTCTGATCCTGTTACAGGCCTGAGTGCTGCAGACTGAACCTAGGCTTCCTGTCTGCAAGAACTTTTATCAACTAAAATACATTCTCAGCTGTTGTTAAATACACAATCTGTGTGAGCATATGGAAGCCAGAGAAGGGCGGGCTGGTCAGGTGTCTTCTATCACTCTCCGCGTTTTTAAGATCTTTTTTGTTTTTTTAAATAATTTACATGTCACATGTGAAATTTAAAGACATCTTGGAGTTAATTCTGTTGTGTAGATTCTGGAGAATCAAACCTTATTGTCAAGGCTTAGTGAAGATCACCTTTATCCGCAGAGCCTGGCCATTTCCCTGCTCCACCCCCCCCGTATTTTTCAGAATTGTTTTTTATTTTATTAAAAAAATACCAATCCAAATTCCCACTCCCTCCACAGACCCTCCCACCCCACCTCCCTCCAATCCTAAGAGAAGGCAATGCACACTGCTCTGTGGAAAGTTCAAGGCTACGTCTAGGTTGAGCAAGGTATACATCCAAAGAGAATAGGATCCTGAGAAGCCAGTACATGCAGTGGAGACAAATCCCAGTGTCACTATCAGTGGCCCCTCAATCTGCCCCAACTGTCAAACCACCTTCAGAGGGACTTGTTTGTTCCCATGCTCGTTCCCTCCCAGTCCAGCTGGAGTTGGTGAGCTCCCATTAACTCAGCAAATTGTCTCAGTGGATGAGCCCCTCGTGGTCTTCAATTCCTTGCTCATACTCTCATTCCTCCACTCTTCAACTGAATTTTGGGAGCTCAGTCTAGTGTTCCAATGTGGGTCATTGCCTGTTTCCATCTGTTGAACGAAGGTTCTATGGTTATATTTAAGATAATCATCAGTCTGACTACAGGGTAAGGCCAGTTCAGACACCCTCTCCCCAATTGCTTAGGGTCTTAGCTGGGGTCATCTTTACGGATTCCTGGGCATTTTTCTAGAGCCAGGTCTCTTGCTGCTTTTATTTTTAATGTATATATTGTTTTGCCTGTATATTTGTCTGGGTGCTGCCTGGTCCCCATGGAAGCGAGAAGAGGACATTGGAGCTCCTGGGACTAAAGATGACTGTAGGCACTATGTAGGTGCTGAGTAGCGTGTTTAACTTGTACCCTCTCGACCTTGGGTTTTCAGATAAGGTCTCAAAATGAATAACTGCTTAGATTCTGGAACCCTACACCTGAGTTTTAGGGAGCCAAACTCAGGTCTTCATGATGGCTGAGCAAGTACTTTATGCACTGAGCCAAGCCATGCATCTCCCTGGGTTTTGATATTTTGAAGCATCTATTTTGTCACCTTTTAGAAGATTTAGTTGTATGTTTTTGGAGAGGAGACTGATTGTTTATTCCTGGCTGCTCAGCGCCGAAACTGTATTAATTAAATCACTGCCACTGCTTGGCCCACTAGCTCTAGCTTCTTATTGACATATTAATTTAACCCATTTCTATTTATCTGTATACCACCAGATAACTTTAGCTTATGGGCTAAAGTTCCCAGTACTTGTCTCCAGCAGCTCCATGACTTCTGACTCCACCCTTCTTTCTCCCAGCATACAACCTAGCTTTTCTTGCCTAGTTCTGTTCTTCCCTGCCTAGGCTCAAAGCAGTTCTTTATTCTTTAACCAATAAAAGCAACACATAGACAGAAGGACCTCCCACAACAGTATATGTCTGGCTGGTGCCCATGGAGCCCAGAGGCATCAGATGCTTCTGAAGTTGAAGCCGTAGGCAATTGTGAGCCACCTGATAAGGGTGCTGGGCAGTCCTCTAGAAGAGATAGATAGATATATGCTCTTAACCTAACCTCTGACATCCCTCTTGCTAGATCTGGAACTCACTCTGCAGCCTAGGCTGGACTCAAACTCACTGATCTTCCAACCTCACTCTGAATGCTAGGATTACAGGTATAAGCCATCACACCCAGCACATACTTTTTTTTTTTTTAATGAAGTTCTATATATTGTTGGGATTGAGATAAAAGAACATTGGCTGGGTGTGAATCCCAGCATGCAGAGTTGGGTCAGACAGGGCTACATAGTTAAGACCCTGTCTCAAAAACAAATATATGTTCTTTTTTCTTAACCACAAATGTAATTAGCAATTCAGTTCTTAAAGTTTGGCAATCTCTTATTGCTTCAGCAGAGCCAAATGAACAGATAGTACCAGTGTGAGTTGCTGTTTTTTTTTTTATTTTTTATGTTTTGGTGTTTATTTTTTATATTTGGCAAACATGGAAATTTATATATATACATTTACATATATACACATGTTTAAAGCCCCAGCTTCATTAAACCCCATGCTTAGGCTGTTAAAAATAGGTAAAATGGCAAGAATACATACATATATAAAAGAAATCAGGGAAAATGTGAAATAACCCCAATTGGTAACTTTTGTTGTTTTTATGAACTAAGACATTTTGAAACAAAATCTATCTCCTTGCTAAACTTACAGCTTCAGATATTTACAAGAAAAACAATTATGCACTCAGTGTGGCCTGACAAACTAGTAAGGTTCCTTTTTATTACAACAGTCAATATTCAGTGATTCAAATTCAGCTATTAAAAGCATCAAGTTCCCAGGATCATTATGTTTTGAAGCAAAGTCCTTCAGATGTATGTCTTCAACTGCACAAACCCATCACAACAATGTTCAGGTTGTAACTGAAATTTTTCTCATTTTGTGTTGCTGGGGATTGAATCTAAGGTCGCATGCATTCTAGGCAAGCACACTATCACCAGCCTCTAACCGTTTCGAAGACTACAGAACATTCACTGATGGCTAACGTAGTGCGCTAGTGCACTCGAGGTCGTTTGGTGACGTTCTCTGCAGGAGTTCTCCTCTTCTGGGATAGTCCTGGCCCACATTCTTTATTTTGGAGTAAAGCAGCTTCTGAGAGATGGTAATTATTCGCACAAGGAG